CGCGATCACCCACATTTTTTTGGTGATAAATTAAAGATTGCCATGATGCTGAAAATCATAATTAATAGAATCGTAAGGAAACATGGTGGTGCAGGTATAAAATTAAGTTTGTTAAAATTATACGGGTTACAAATATATAGTAAGTATTAACGAATTTGAAAATGATTGTACTACATAAGAATTTTATTAAAACTCTTGCTTATACCAGATAATGAAGCAATTGTCTACGAGTTATCGGTACCTTTTCAAGGGTTATATATTTTTCGTGAGGTTCTACGATCAAAATTGCCAACTAATAAGGTTGAAGTAGCGTTAATATCACGCACCATACCAACGTTACTCAAGTTCAGGGTTTGTTTTTTTCTTCCTTTGTTCTATATCAGCTTATCCTTCATATCTGACAATTTCATTATACGTCATTACTAGGAGTTGCTTGAACAGAGTCTAAAAGGTCTGAAAGATTATATTGTAGACGCGCACATTTCGTCAATAGGTTCCAGTGAAAGTGCAAACCAGTTTATCACACATACTAAGCAGGACAAAAAAAAAAATGTAATTTTATCGTATAGAACAAAATCTATAACAATAATGAAATTTTTTTGTGGAAGAATGAAAAGAATGAATAAATTTGTAATTTCGTTATGTAAAGTGTCCATGTGATAGCGGTGTAGGCAATACAGGTCAACTCTCGATAAAAGAAAGATTACGCAAATTTCTATAATTAGTTAAGTCGATTGATGATCAAAGGGCATCAAGTTCGACACTTTAGTGAATCTCATTTTGGTCATGATCATCGGTTTTTTCCGGGCCCCGGCTAATTCGATAAGAGAAATTCTGATACACGGTACCCTTTTCGAAAAAGCCAATATATAGCACGAAAATATATGAGAAATAATGATAAATAATTAAAGTTATTTCAAATTTTATGTAACTAATAAATAAACTATGTAATATATTTTATGAGACAATTTAATTACTAAATTATTCAAAAATCATTCGAATTATATAAACTTAAGCCATTCTATTGTTTGCTATCCAGAGAAGACTATTAGATAAATTTGTACTATATGTCCTTTTATATTGCTTTATTCTAATCTGGATTTTCTAGAAACAATAGTCGCATTTTTTTACCAGAGCTTTCTGATGTCAGTTGGATGCCATCCAGTAATAAAGTCATACTATAAACCATATTGATATACCTTAGGATGCTGGTTTCAGATCTAAATTCTTAAGAAAACACAACTGTGCCTAATTCTGTAAGCTGCCAGTTAAGTACAAAAGAGTTTTCGACTAAATTATAAAGATGAAAGCAATATGTCAAATGATATATGCTGCAGGTGGTAATTATTGAAAAAATCAAATTAACTTGAGAAACAAATATATTGTATCTTTACTCTAAGTACTAAATCTATAAAAATTCTTCAAATCTACATATTCAAATCTTGTAGTCTCCCCCATTACTAGCACGCTGACCAATCATCATTTTCACCGGCGGACTACGTGGCAAATGTGTCTGATTAACCGGAAGTTGGATGGCACTAGGCAAAGTTTCGAGAACGTGATCCAATTGATTATCGCTATATTCGTATCCATACTCGATTATTTTTTGGTGATGCATCGTTACCCATTCATTTTCATGTTCAGAAAATTCGCCTCTGTCAAGTGCGTTGTAGAAAAATATGATGTTAAGTCCAGCCTCTTCGTCGTATTCGAACTCAAGATCAGCGATATTTCTGAAGGCATGACTTCTGAGATATTTTGGCATAGAAAGGGGCCACCTGAAGTTCTTACCCATGTGGGCTACAAATAGATTAAGAAAACAAATGTCAAAGCATTGTTACATGTATTGTAATTATACTATTCAAGTACATATAAGGTATACCAAGAAAGTTTTGTGCTTGACCAGGCTTTTCCTCATACGTAATGAGGGTTTGAAGTGTTTCAGGGGGATTATCTTCAACCGTTCGAAATATCTCCATAACTTTAGACAGAATAAAAAGTATAACAACGTTAACGATATCAGTTATAAATGATTTTTACAGAATATACGTATTTTTTCTATTTATTCATTAAAAATCGTACCCGACAAACGGGATCCAAATAGGTGAGAGCACTCCAATTATAAAAAGAAGAACGATGGATACTAGAGGAAACAATAATACTAGAGGAAACAAGAGAACAATAAAATGATCCATTTTGTGGTTTAAGTGAGAATATAAAAATTACCGTACATATCCCTTATTGGACATGTAAACAGATCAATTACGTATTTCGATTACGTAGGCAAACACTTTCAGGAATTTTATCAAATTGTTCTTGAAGTCAGATTAATTTTTCTTCTATTGTTGCCAAGGTTTTTTTTGCTTCTTCATGTTGTTCTTGTTTTACAATAGCAACTTTGGATTTCTCTTCTTATTGTTATTCTTACTCTGATATTTCTGTGCATAAGTTTCACAAAAAAAAACCAAAATTGAAAGGAAAAATAATTTTGCCTCATCCTCTGGATAGTAAGACCAAATTTTTCTTGACTTTCTCAAAATAAATCCCTACCTCCTTCTTTTAAAACAGTTTGCAATTGATTAGATAATTTTTCAATAAATTCTTAGTGTTTAAAAGATTTTCATTAGCTTTATTTCCTTCGAAAAATGCTCTCTCTTCACTACCTTCAATAGCATCGTTATTAAAAATCATAAAAAAATCTTGGTTTTTATAACTAATCCTCGGAACTATTTTTAAATTAGTTATTTTGATTTTCTCCATTTCTTTTTTCTATATTTTTATTATTATTCTTTAACATTAGCAATTTTATTTTTGCTATCATCTTTTAATGGACGACAAATAAAATACATTTTTCTTCGATCAAAAATATTTTAAGTTCAAAAAGTTTTTTCACAACGAATACAGAAACTATTTAATCATTTAACAATTACCACTTTAAAATAAGAATAGACAATATAAGTGAAAACTAGTCTGGTGGAATGTGCCCATGTTGTACGATAATATCATTGAAGTGAAATATCTGAAAGTTTAGATTTTCCACAAATTCCTTCGTAATAGTGTTAACACTGAGATAATAAAATCCAAGTATAGTTATTTGTTGACTTTATTACCCAATTTCCATTCATAAATGTGATACTAATCATCCATAAAACAGATCCATAAAATTCTTATACTAACATCCACATTAATATGCCCTAAGCAACAACAAATTACAAATAAGCAAGTGAGTACAATCTAAAGATACCAAATTCTACATATTTGATGTGTCGATTACTGTAATATCATATATCACACCTAAGATATTTAACGAAAAACTATAATTTTTTAGTTCTGATATCTATAGTTTAGGCATGATTATGTGGGAACTCATGACAATAAAGTGTCCCTTTTATTATCGAGAGCAATATACCAATCTTGCTTTAGATATATGTCACGGACTACATCCCGAAATTACTGAAGATACACCGAATTATGGACTAGATTAATGGAAAAGTGCTGGCATCCGGATCCCTTACAGAGACCATCAATTAACGATATATATGAGATAATAAGTTCACCGGAATGGGAATTTGGTGGTGTATTTTATGATGCAGAAAAAAAATTACAATAAATATTTTCATTATTAAACTTATATATATTATTTATCATAGGCACAATAAAACAAAGAAAATTAACTAATTATTACGAAACTATTGTATATAAAGGTAAAGTATGTTTTTTACATCAATTGCTAATTATTAAATATAATCTTTAATTTTTTGGTCACGATAATTGTTATTTTAGTATTTATATTATATATAAAGTAAGAACTGAAAAAATCATATCTAGTATTTTTTTGCCTTTGAAAATGACTATCTAAATTTGTAAACGTAATTATAATGTAATTTAGAAATAATAGGAGATCACTTAATTATAACCGGTATTGGATTACTTTTTTTAGAATAATTATATAAAAACTTGTAAAAAACCTGCTTAACAATAGATATTAAATACAATACAACAAATAATAGGTATTTTACTCTTATCTATATATATATATCATATCATACATGCATATAATAACATCATATATGCATAAAATCAAATTTACTTTTAAGAAATAATTTTTAAGAAAAATTATATCAAAAATGTATTTAATTTTTCCAAAAATAATAAAACAATGATTTCATTATTTATTCTATGTATATTATACATATTTTTGCATATAGTTTATAAATAAATTATTATAAAAATCTTATAAAATCATGATTTTTTTTTCAAATTTTTATATCTTTTGTCTTTAAAAATGAAAAAACATATTTCTGTTAAGTTTCTTAAACATTCTCTGAAAGGATATCAAAAATATCATCTCTATTTATTAAAACAAGAAAATCTCCAATTAACAAACAAAAATTTGGCCTATAAATTCAATATTAGTGAAAGTACTGTTTTTAAAATTCTTAAAAATAGTACACATTGGCTTAATATTGATCTTGATAGTTTTGAGACTAAAAGAAAAAGAAATAAAAATCCAAAGTATCCTTTGATTGAAAATGCATTAAATATTTGGATTAATGAAGCATTAAAAGCTAATTTAACCATTACTGGTTTTATTTTAACTTATCAAGCACAAGAATTTGCTAAATTATTTAATATTACAGATTTCAAGGCATCTGAAGGTTGGCTAACTAATTTCAAGAAAAGAAATAATTTGAAAAAATATACACATTGTGGAGAAGGAAACAGTGCCCCTCTTGAGAAGCTTCCAGAATATAGAGAAGATTTACAAAATATTTTAAAAGATTGGCCATTGGAAAATATTTTCAATTATAATAAAACTGGTCTTTTTTGAAAAATGAAATCATCAAAATCTCTTTTCAAAAAAGAAATTATTGGAAAAAAAAAGATAAACAAAGAGTTACTGTACTTCTTTGTACAAATGTTACAGGTATTTAATATTTTTATTAAAATATATTTATAATTTAATATAATTTATATATTATTTTGTAGAAAGTACTAAAATCAAGCCTTTAGTTATTCATTATTATGAAAATCCTCGTTTATTAAGAAAAAAAAGAAAAGAAGAATTACTTGTTAATTATTATTCAAATGATTTAGCATGGATGAATACAATAATTTGAAATGAATTTTTGGATAATTTAAATGAACAAATGCAACAAGAAAACAGACAAATTATTCTTTTATTTGATAAAGCATCTGTACATATTAGTGAAGAAAGTTTGATATCTGAAGATTTGTCAAATATCACATTATATCCTTTGCCTCCAAATATCACAGCACATTTGTAACCAATGGATGTAGGCATAATTCGCTCATTTAAGGTAATTTTATTTTTTATATTATAATATTAATTAATATTAATTAAAATTTATTATAGGCTAAATATAGAAGGTTATTGGTGAAATTTAAAGTGGATCAATTCAATTTAACTTTTAATTCAACAAAAGATCCTGAAAAAATCAATATTAAGTATGCTATAGATTGGATTGCAGAATCTTGAAATAATATTGATAATAATATTATATTAAATTGTTGGAAAAAGACAGATATTATATTGTCTTTACAATTTCCTCAAGAATTTGATGAACCTCAAACACCAGCCTCAGAAAGTACTATTACTGGAGAATTAATTTCATTGCAACATAATATAGATGAAATTAAGAATTTGATGGATCAACTATTATATAAGGATAATGAAATTATTGATGCAGATAATTTTATTGAAATTGATGATTTCTGTGAAAATATAGAAACAACAAATAAAGATATTGTAAATTTGATTCAACACAAAAAAATTAATTCTAATTTAACAATCCAAAGTATTCAAAATGTTATACAATTTATTAATCAAGAACCAAATCTTAAATTAGATCAAAATCAAAAGGAACTTCTTTATTCAATTCAAGAAAAATTTTTACAATATGAAAAAAATTAATTTTTTTTATATTTTTATCAATTTTTTTATCTAGTTTTATATTTATTATATAACTATTTATTTATTATTATATTTTTCATTTTATATTTTATATATTATTTTTTACATTATAAATTATATTTTATAACTATCATAACATTTAAATTTTTCGATGCTAAATAAAGGCCTTAATTACTATCTGTAATCATAAAAAATATAACTCAGATCAATTAAAACACTTGATATGAATTTACTAAACAAATATTAATAAAATATGCTAATTCCCTAAAAGAAAAAATACAACTCGGATCAATTAAATCACCTATTATATAAATTTACTCAACAAATATTAATGATAATATACATACCGTTTGTAATCGTAGTTAAAGAATATAACTCAGATCAATTAAACCATCTATAATATGAATTTACTCAACAAATATTAACGAAAACATTCTTACGGTCTGTAATCGTAGTTAAAGTAAAGAATATAATTATATAAATTAAACCACCTATTATATGAATTTACTCAACAAATATTAATTGAAAATATGCATACAGTCTGTAATCGTAGTTAAAATAAAGAATATAACTCAGATCAATTAAACACCTATAATATAAATTTACTCAACAAGTATTAATGAAAATATGCTTACCGTCTGTAATCGTAGTTAAAGTAAAGAATATAACACTGATAAATTAAATCACCTATTATATGAGTTTACTCAAAAAATATTAATGAACATATGCTTACAGTCTGTAATCGTAGTTAAAGTAAATAATATGACTCAGATCAATTAAACCATATATAATATGAATTTACTAAACAATATTAATGAAAATATGCTTACTCCCTAAAAGTAAAGAATATAACTCAGATCAATT